TTTTGAAATACTTTTGCTACACAATAATTTCGAAAAATGTTTTCGCAATATTGCGAAAATTTTTTTATAGTGCAATAATTTCAAAATTTATTTTGCAATATTTCAAAATATTTTGTGTTTTACAAAAATTTCGAAATTTCTTTCAGATTATTTTGAAATTTTTGCACTATGCAATTTCTTTTAAAATATTTCGCATCTATAATTTTGCTGATGTAGATGCTAAAGTATGAGTAAACTTTACAAAGATAAGCTTTTATTAATAATCTATAGTATAGATAGATAGTTGACAAAAAGAGCTTTCTGAGTCTTACTAGCAAATGTCATGCTTTAAAATATATAATAGTCTAAGTACTAGTTCAAAAAAAAAAATACTGTACTGCTTAAACAGTATACTGATTAAGTATATACAGAAAATTTGAAATAGTTAAATAATTAATAAAACAGATAATTAAAGGATTTAAATAATAATTTTCTAATAGATTATAAGTATAGTATTTAGTAGAGTAATTTTAGACATTTCTTATGAGATATATATAATTATATATATCTTGTATATCTATAATAAAAATGCCCCAATATCATGTGATACTAATTATTTGAAAATAGCATACTTGTGTAATCTTGGCTGCATCAGATGATAAACTAACATCAACTTATATTGACTAATATTCTCACCAAACAGAGCACAGTATAATAAAAAAAAACATTAGTCATTGATTAGTTTATTGAATTCAGCAAACTTAGCATCTACAAAATTGATTAACTCATAATAATTAAATGTGAACAGATATGAGTAATATCAGAAAAAATAAACCCTCTAATTGGTAATACATATTACATATATTAAATTAGATCTGCTGCTTTTAAATATATTTGAATTTCTTAAAGGATGAATCTGATAAATAATAACTAATAAATATGAAAGCCTAATCTTATCTTGACAGCATTTATATATGAAGTTAATCATTTTTAGTTACTTCAAAAGATGTGATTTTGTTATCAAATGAAAAAAAGTTACAGGTTTATTCTTATTATCACTCAATTCAATTAACTAAAGATATTTAATAAGAATTCACTAGTATATATCAAATATGATATAAAGAATCTTTATAATCACTTTAGTGCAATACTATAATTACCCAAAATAATACTCCAGAGCATTACTTAGAGCATGTAATATAAAAAAAGCTAAGATGTAATTTAGCCAAAGATTTTTTAAAAATAAAATTATCACTCATATTTGGCTAAATTAATTATTAGCTCTCTTTAAATTTCATGCTTTAAATAATGTCTAGAGTAGAAGTGCAAATAAATCATCCCAATAGGAGTGTGGCAACCTAGTGAAGTGGTTAGGTTGTTAACCCCCAAGTGGCAGGTCCGGAGTTCAAATCCCAGTGTCGACAGAAAATTTGAAAATCTTCTCTGTGTTACATTTAACTATCTTTCGTAATTAGTTGGGATAAGACATCTGTAATCTATGTTACACTAGCATAACTGGCAGGTCACATGGCATTTGTGTAACAGTTACATGACATTGTCCTTTGGGACAAGGTCTGTGGTTACACAAAGAAATGCAAACCGGTACCAGGCAGTGCAAACCTACAATAAGTTCTCATGGCCATGTAAATCATAGAAACCAATAAAAGAAAGATGGAAGCCCACTTGGAAGACCCAAGTAGAGAAGTAACTCGAGCTTTCGACGGTGCTACTATAAAGACTACACTTATGAAATGGAGCTAGAACTTATAAAATCAGGCAAATGTGCTGGTCTTTAAGGAGGGACCAGATAAACCAACTAGGCTGTCGGAATTTTCATTTTCAGAGAAAAAGTATACATATGACAAATATGTAAACCTGAAGTACGGTCTTACCTTATCTTTTCAGGCTATCTGGAATGGCAGCTTGGTGGAACTTGAATTGAATACCAAAGTAGTAAAGATATGTTATGAAGTAAGTATCAGGGTTGGAGTGAACTCTACAAGGGCATAGTAGTTTAATAATATGCCCTGACCGCCAATGTTGGTCTCAGCTATAGTGATACCAGGTCAGCTGTAAGAATAGGATACAGAAGATTCTAGAAGGTTTAGTACAAGGTTAAAGGTTCCAAAGAACTGCTTTAAAGACTTAGTGACCATGACATATTTTCACTGGCATCAGCCAAGGTCATTGGTAGGCAGAAGTAGATGGTGAATATGGAAACAGAGTGGTTAAATAGAGAACCTATAAGTGGGTTCTAGGTATAGCAGCTAGTGTAAAACCTTCAGGTGGACTACTTAAATTAGACAATGACTAAAGTTGTACGAGTGGCTAGTTGTACACTCTCTCCATGGTTGCCTCCTGTGGTTGTAAAGCAATTATTAGCCAAATATACTATCAATAAATCCTGGGTTGCAAGTACTCACCTTAATATTTAAAAAAAAAAAAAAAAGTATTAATAAAGTTAAAAAACCAAAAAGATTATCTTAATATTAAAAAATATATATAATATAATAACATCTGTATCAAGTTTTTAAAAATTATAAATTATATTAAATACAGAAATTTCTATTTTTATTTTTATTTATTTAGATTATGAAACAAAAACTAATCAAAAAAAAACTTTAAATTAATTGTAAAAAAATTAGAACAAGATACTAATTAATTCGAAATAATGTTTAATAGTTTTTTAATTGTTTGAAGTATATATAAAAACAGTTATAATAAAAACAAGCTTAGAGACTACATAAAATATAATTTCTAAGCCTGTTTTTACTATAAGCATCTCTATATATAAATTATATTTGTATTGTATTGCTTACAAACTAATATTAACTATAATTTTATTTAAAAAGCTAAATATTGTTAACTGTTTTGATAATGTTATATATTAATCTTTTAAAAAAATAAACTAAATTATTTATTTTTTACAAACTTTTTCTCAAAAAACAGTAAAGACAACAAAAATATATAAAGTTCTTTATATAAATTTTATAATTATATATAGTTTCTTCAAGTTTCTATTAATTATAGTTAAAATTTTTATACTATTGTTTTTTTTTGTTTAAATGCTAAATGTACTAAAGAGTTCATTAAAAGAAAACTTGATCTAAAATTCAAAACTACCAAGAGTTTTATTTTGTGTCTCAATGTTAATACATTCTTGATTTTGTTAGCAAACAACCTATTTTGCATAAAAATAAAAGTAATGTTTTCTTGTGTCTTGCTATAACATTTTTCTGTAATTCAATTTTCTGATGTTGTTTACCAAGAAATCATCAAAAAAATTTTGATTTTTGAATGTTATTATCACTATTTTCAAAATGGTTGAAAATGACAAATAAATTTTTTTTTTTTTTGACGTACACTCGTATATTCATATACTAGTACATTTAAATACCTTAGCACGTTGATATAAAGTCGGGCATCAATGTGCTAAGGTAATCGAGTGTACGAGTGTATGAGTGTTTCGGGTGTACGCCAAAAAAAATTTTGTTTGCTATATCAACCATTTCGAAAACAGAGATAATAAAAACTTATTAATTTTTAAATAGTATGTTTGCTTCATAACAACTAATAATGCAGTATAAAAAGATTTATTTTTACTAATTTTAGTTGGCAAAAAATCCGTAAATTGGTTAGTCACAAAATACATATTTTGATTGATTCGATTTGAGTAAATTTGGATTCAAATTTTTGTGTGTCTTCAAGAGCTAGGGATTGGAAATTTTCTTAATCGTTTAACCGTTTAATTTGGCCGGCATTAAAATAATTCCGCCCACGACCAACATAATTTTGCCCTACCAAGAACACCCAAAAAATTCTGCACAACTAACGTGAATTTATGCATTTTGGGAAAATCATTACATATTCGAATTTTGGTATATACTATGTTCTAACATAATTCTAAGTTAATTCTAATGTAAAGATTTCATTACTTAAATCTTTCGTTTATCCAATTGTTTTTTACTTCACGTTACACCTGATTTACAAAATTCTGGGTAGAAATGCATCGAGCTGGGCCGGCATTAGGCACGATTAGCCTAGCAAAATTATTAGTTGGGCCAAATTAATTTAATGTAACGTAACACGATCAGGGAAGTAAAATGATAACGATAAAAAAAAAACATCTTGCGCGATTTTAATGCTAAACACATGCGTATCCATGTCTGCAAATCTATTCGACGTTTCTGGTTGGACTCTCGGTGATTTGGCCTCCCATGAATCTCTGAAAACTCCTGAATCTCGCAAATCGAAAAAAATAAAGAATAAAATCAAGATACGTAAACAAATTAATGAAAAAGGTCCCATTTCAAAAATCGACAATACAAAAGTACTATCCATATTTAATGTTTCATATTTAAACGTATATTTGTTTCTTCCGATCTATCCTACTTATCTTGATACCTTATTTTATACAAGGTTAAACCAATCAAAAAAAGTTCGTTCGTGCAACAAAAAATGTTGAAAAACCTCTCGAAAGGCAAGTTTCGTTGGATCAACGAAAAACTTTATACATCATCAAGTTCTTCTGCTCTTGAGTTATTCCAGAAGAATCCTCTTATGTTTGATGAGGTAAAAATGTTTGACTTGTTCGCTTTTACTTTTGAGTATACTAATTTTCTTTCTTTCTTAGTACCACCAAGGTTTTTGTTCGGCTGTTAGATCTTGGCCCGTGAATCCTGTAGATATTTTTATAAATTATTTAAAAGGAAAACCGAAAGAATGGGTTGTGGCCGATTTAGGTTGTGGTGAGGGTAAGATTGCTCATGAATCTCCCAATAAAGTGCTTTCTTTTGATTTGGTAGCAAAAAATAGCATGATTATCGCATGTGATATTGCAAAGGTTTGTTTCTAATATTTTCCTAACTATTCTAAAGGCTTTCATTCCTAATCTTAATTTTCTTAATTTCATGGTCTTAAGCTACCAATTCCAAATTATTTGTTCGATATCGCTATATTTTGTCTATCTTTGATGGGAACCAACTATGTAGATTTTCTAAAAGAAGCTCATCGAACATTAAAGCCCAAGTATGTCTTAGCATTATTTCTTGGTGTTATACCTTTACTCTATATTTTGTCTTATAATTACGTTATTAAAAGGGGAGAGTTAAAAATTGCTGAAGTGGTAAGTCGTTTCTCAGACATTGATTCTTTCATAGAAGTTCTTGCAGAAATCGGGTTTCAATTCGTGAAAAAGGTATGAAAGATTATTATGTTTTCATTAATTTTATGATAATTATTACCCAATTTAATATTTTTATGTTGGGCTTAAGGATAATACAAATAAAATGTTTGTTATCTTAGACTTTGTTAAGTCTAAGCCCAAAATCATTAAACCAAATCAGTCTTTATTACCCATTGCATCTAACTTGCTGAAACCTTGCAATTATAAGAAGCGTTAAATGTTGGTTTTAGTGACACATTTCTTATTTGTCTTTTGGATAGTTAATTATGAGTTTAAACCAATTTATATCATGTTATTTTGTTTTACTTTATGACTAGATCCTATTTTATTTTATTTTTCAACTTCACACTTCTGTGAAAGGAAAGCACTAAACACAAATTACAGGACTAGTTTTTGTTATAGGTCAATTTGCAGTTAAAGAAACTCAAATAAATTTTGCTTGAGAATAAACACGTTTCTTTTACCAAAGCCAGCGACTAGGCCACCACGTGAACCGGATAGAACTGGGTAATAGCAGTGCTCACTTTCTAAGCTCCTGCCTTTATTCTAAGTGCTAGTTCATGCTGAACACAGGTAAAATGATATTCAGTAAGGTATCAATAGATGTCCTTATTATCGCCAGATTTTGACTTCAAAGAGATATCAATAGGCATCAATCGGAGTAATACTATTCCGATTGATGCCTATTGAGCCAAAATTTGGCAGCAGTAAGGATGTTTATTGTTACTTTATTGGATATTATTTTATCTGCAGAATTCTAGCTAGACTTGGGTTTGGAACTAGAGTTGCTAGTGAAACTCTTGGTGAATAGTGATAAAACTGGTAAAATTTATTACAACAACCAATCAAATTTTAAATAGTATCGAAAGATAGCAAATCGGATACAAATTAGGTGTTTGATTTTAATTTGATTGCTATTTGATTATTGGCTAATTAATAATTTTTTGTAATAACAAGAATTACATTAATTATGCAGTAATTAGTTAGTAATTAAATTGAATTAAATATTTGATTTGTATTTAATTTGCTATTTTTTGATTTGTGTTAGCAACTTTAGTAATAATTTTTGTTTTAAATAATATATAAATATTAGATTAATTTAAATTTGATTTGAATTTTTTTTTGTTGTTAAAGTTGATGTTTATAGCATTTATTGCTTTTATTGTGGTTTTAATTATATATTATATAATTTGTACAAGAATAAGTATACAATTGGTTGCATATACAATTTTGGATTTTTTATTTAAGTAGTTTACTTAAAAGTTTTGTATTAGTTTTTATATTTGCAATTTATTTAAAGATTATTTGGTTAAACTTTTTAGTTTTTGTATTTTATTAAATAAGTAGTTTGGTTTTTGTATATATATATTTTTTAATTTTTTTAAAATTTAGTAACATTGTTAGTTAGTTTATTAATTTTTAAATTTAATATAGTACAATTTTATAGTTATATTTACAAGATCAATTATTACTAGTATTATATTAACTATCTTAATTTTTTACTCTATTAACTTTATCTGATTACTTATTACAGATCAAACAAATAAATAAAAAGTGAATAATAGATAAATAACAGAAAAAAAATCTGCCATTATTTTACCTTTTATTTACCAAATAATAGTAGCATAACAGCAGCATAATAGCAAAATAACAGTAAAATAACAAGAGGTTTGTCAATATAAGTAACATAATAGTAATATAATAGCAAAATAATAAAAGAATTTTATAATTTTACTTTTAGTTACAAAGATTAAAAGTAAAATAATAGAACTGTTCTATTATTTTACTATTATATTATTATTATATTACTTATATTGACAAACCTTCTATTATTTTACTGTTATTCTGCTATTATATTACTGTTATGTTGTTATTATTTAGTAAATATAGAGTAAAAATAATGCCAGATTTTTTTTTATTATTTACTTATTATTTATTCTTTATTTATTTATTTAATCTGTATATAAAGCATTTAAGTTTGTATTTGTTATATACTTGCATGCAATTATCTTAACAATTAATTATAATTAAAGCATATTATTAAACTACTATACAAACAAGAATATTTTTGAACTTGATACAGGATTTTAATATTAAGAATATTATTTTTTATAATTATATTTATATGTTTCACTTATATATTTTATTTGGTTTTGTTTTTTTTGTCTTTTTTTTAATAAATAGTTAATTGCTTAGCCAAGCTAGTAATTTTTATTAGTTAATAATATTCTAAGTATTTACATAGTTTATAAAAATACAACTAATTATATATACAACTTTAGTTATTATTTATTTAAAGATTCTGCTTTAAAATTATTCACTATATGCTATATTTAACTTTTGCTTTAAATACCTTATTTAAACTTTTTGATTTATCTATTTTTTTGACTTCTAATTTAACTATATCTAGTAATACTTTGTTTTTTATATTTTTTATCTTTATTATTATTATATTATTTCCAAATTAGTTTTATTTAAATATATTTAATTTTTATTTTTTTATTTTTTTTTATATTGAAGTCTTTGTCTTTAAAGAATAATGTTTTTTATTTAAGTTTTTTTTAAACATAAATGTCTCTAAAGACATCTATATATAGAAGATTACAACTAGTTATATATGCATTTTTAGTATTTATTTAAGTAGTCTATTTATATATTACTATATAAATTTTATACTAAATGTTATATTTGTAAACCAATTACAAGTTTTACTTATTTAAACCTTCTGTAAATATAATTCAACTTTTATTATAATAATATCTTTAAGGTTACATCCATCTAAAGTATCTAATATATTTAAAACTTTTGAAATTATTTTATTCTTAATAGAAACCTTACCAGAATCTTCTATGTCCTATATACAGCTAACCTAGTTTTATACAATATGTTATAGTTAGACTAACACTTATAGTTACAAGTATTATCTGTTAAATTACTATACATATTATATTATTTTTTATTCTTATAAAGTTTATTAAAACTCTAGTATCTATTTTTATGATATACTAATTTACTTAACTTCTTTTTATTTAGAATTTACAAACTTCTTAAATTATCAATTCAGATAATCCAATATAGTATATCTAGATATCTTTTCTTTAGCAAATCTGATAGTCTGATTAGTATATATGCTTTATTATATATATATATTTTTTTAATATTAAGGTGTCTTTTTTGATCTTTTGATTTTTATTAATAACTTATTAGTAATATGATTCTATGAACTATTACAAGAAAGAGTACAATTAGTTATACATATAACTTTTCTATTTTATCTATTTAAAAAGTTTACCTAAAAGTTCTCTACCAATTGTTATACTTAATACTTTTGCTTAGATATAGGGTTTCACCATTGGATTTAATTTGATTTGATCAAATATTTGAGTTCAAATCAAATTCAAATCTGAAATTTTCAAATTAAATCAAATTCAAATATAATCAAATTTAATTTGATTTAACAATTATTTGATTTAATTTAAAATTTTATAATTGAATATTCAAATTTATAAGCTATTTATTCAAAATTTTATTAAGACAATTAATTTTTTTATTATATAAAACTAAATGTATTTTGTTTAGATAAATACTTTTACTTAAAAACTTAAAATCAATTAATATAGTAAAATTTTTTGTAAATTAAGTTTTTTCTTTATCAATCAAAATTTAAATTTTTTTGAAAATCAAATCAAATTCAAATATTTGATGCAAATATTTGATTGAATTAAATCAAATCAAGAGTATATTTGATTTGATCAAATTCAAATTAACTTAATATTTGATTTGATTTAGTTTTGAGGAACCTTATTTGGGTGTTTCACTTTAAATCTTCTGAACTTGTAATTTGTATTAACTCACTAGATCATATCCAGATACCCAGATTATCATCTTAATTTTAGAACTAATTTATCCTTGAGGTAAACCTCTTAGAGTCTTCTGTACTCATTTTTATAGTTGACCTAGATATTACTATAGCAGAACTAATACTTATAATTAGAGTTATATTATTTAACTGCTATGTTCTTATAGAGTTCACACAGATCCTAGCATCTATTTCATAGTATAATCTTAGTACTTTAATATATCTCTGCCTTTTTATCTATCTTTTTATCAAACCCCCAATCCAAATAGCCTGTATAGAACTATGATCAGTCTATCAGTATATCAGATTAGCTTGATATTCTTTTTCTCTGATTTATTTTAACAGCCTAGTTGGTAATATTTTTAAAACTTCTAATCTAAAGATTTTTGCTTATCTGACTATTATATAAGTTGATTTAAAAGTTTTGTTATATTACATAATTATTTTTTTATTAGTAAATTTATATATATATTTTTTTTTTTAAATATTAACGATGGGGCCATGCCTTTAAC